AGCGTGCATTTCTCTCTTTTAGTTTTCTATTCATTATAGTCCTTATCGAGATGATAATTTTTAATTCCGTTGGTCGAAAAACCGATTCATATCGATCAAATTTCTTAATCAAATTTTAACATTTGTAGTGATACACTCCTTATCAATAAGAAAAACATAACAAGGTCATATAAAAAGTGTCGTCTAAAAATTTGTTTTATTTCAGAAAAAAATTTTGTACATTTATTTAAAATTTACTTTTCACTCCGAGAATAGATTTAGAATATATATATATATTGAATGCATCAAAACTCTTACTCATTTTAATAATATTTGTTTTTGCTTTTCTATTATTTATTTGTCATTGAATATTTTGATTTTAGCTAGCCGCCAATGAAGATTTATCGAAAAATTCGTCCAAATGGTTTTCATCACTATCATGTTGTTTGCGATAGATCATATTTGTGAAATATTATTGTTAATATGTTGAAATATCCGATGCGTCAAAATGTTTGTAATCTCATGTATTTTGTATACATATATATATATATATGCTAACTCCAAAAATTCTCTGGACACCTGTAACTTTTATCATGCCAAAAGAGTTTTGAAAAAAGCTACGAGTCAATGCGCCACGATGCAAAGAATTAGACAGTATGTGTTTTGTCATGATTGAAGGTTATCTTTGCCAAGAAATTGAGCTTTGTTTGAAATCAATTGCCATTTTACATGGAAATGACCGAAACAGGATAAAAATTACATGGCCGATCAGAATTAAAACCAGAATAAAACTCAATGAAAATTGATCCTACTGCTAAATGTTATACCTCCTATCGTACATCAATCGATAGAGAAATGTTTGTTTTATTCTGAAAACTAAAATGCAACTCTGTGCGATGTCGAGAACTTAAGGATTACCAACGGATTGTCAAAGAAATATGTTTTTTTCTAGCAGAATTAGGTCTATTAACAAAAATGTAACCTGTATTTCTGTCCCTGCTCTAACCTTTGGTAGTGAATTATGAGTCGAGAAATGCTTTAAATAACGCTGAAGTATATCAACATTCATCTAAACGGAAAAAAACAGTTCTGTGTATTATTCATTTAAGAATATCTACCATTTTAACTTCGACTATTCACACTAGCGGGGGTTATCTCTATATGTTCGGTTTCAATATAGAATCTTTTCAGTTGAGATAGGCAGTCATCGAGTTGAAATAGACAATCGGAAAAGTAGGAAACATTGTAAATGTTAATCTAATCAAATTCATGCAGTTAGTCAAGATTCGATCGCACACAATACTGTTCATGAATGCTGAATCATCTGTATGTTGAACGACAAGTTATTTTTTGATTTTTCAATATGCAAAGTACGTCTGACTCGCCTTGAAAAAACGAATCATATAACATCTACTTTAAAGAGACATCAAGACGATGTACCCAAGAAATGTTTATCAATTTCTTTGTGTCTCAAATGGAGAAGTGTGAGTGAAGTCAGATTTCGATATTCAGCTGCCAAAAGTACGCGTTTTATGTTTATTGATTCGATTGCTAACCAAGTGACATCATATCGAATTCGAGGTAGTACATACTAACAGAACCGATCGAGTACCGAAGTTGCCGTTAAATCGATCAGTTGTGTAGTAAAATGACGATGGCATGATATTTGATCCAATTGTTTGTTAACATCCATTATCGCTCAGAGAAAATCAGCCGCTTTAAGTTTGTTGAAAATAATCAAGGGTAATTCATCTGGTAAATCTAATAGATGAATATTATCAGATCGAGACATTGTTTCTTGTATTGATAATACAAATGCTTCTTTGACTTATTATATTCGAAAAAGTTGATGCTGCTATTTTCTCTCATCGACAAATGAATACGAAAACTAACTGAAATATTTATGTAGGAATGATTGGTCAACGTATAGGTCAAGTTCGTCTATTAATACAAAGAAATTTTTTGTCAAAAAATAATGATCGATTTGAAGATGTGAAATTCAAATAAACAATTGAACGATTGTCATCGGGACAACATTATAGTCAACTTCTGATAATGTCATGCAATCTTATAAACGAAATAATAACAGATATAGAGAGATTAACTAATGGTTAACACGAGTTAAGTACACATTATGCAAATCTTTTTTCTCGCACGTCATAATTAATCAACAAATCCCTATTGAAAAACGAAACAGTCTCTCAAACATTCTCTTTTTTGTTATGGTCAATAAAACGGAAAGTAGCACTATAATGTATATTTTTCATTTACATTTGGGAGAACCAATCAGAGCAAGTTAATTGATATTCGCGTAGACATTTTTGTAGAACTTTTTATTTATTAGCTTCTTTGATTATATTAGCTGATGAAGAAATCTCCTGGTGACAGATCAAAATGAAATTGGTTTGAACAACGAAGGTGTGGTGTAGGCCTTGTCTTTTCTTTATCCACACCCACACAAGAACTGTCTGTTTGCTGAATTAATCCTTAATCACGAACATCCTTTTTTTTACATTCAATACAAATCATTTTCAGACACAAAAAAAAATAAACATTATTAATTTGTCGTCTCTTCAATATTAAATTTTTGCACTCGATGATTTCCTGTATCGGCAATATAGAGATTGCCGTGTTGATCGAATGATAAACCAAAGGGAAGATTTAATTGATTTGACTGTTCTCCTACACCATTCCCACCGGCAAGGATACTTCCCTGTGTGGCTCCTTTTGGCCAACGCATGATTCGATGATTCTCCCAATCAGTCACATAAATAGTACCTAATTGATCGACAGCAATTCCTGCAGGATCATCCAATTGTGTAAGATTATGTCCTAGTCCTTGACCACCAGCTACGATAATGCCTTGTTTTGCACCTTCCTCCCATTTCATCACACGACGATTTCCCGTATCAGACACGTACACTGAATGATTTCGATCGACAAATAGGTAGTGGGGTTCATTGAGTTGATCAGGACGATTTCCTTTTCCATTGCCACCTGCAACCACTGTTTCTTCAGTATCACCAATTCTATATCGTCTCACTTCATGTTTTTGCTGGTCAGCCACATAGAGAGATCCATTCTCGTCCATTGTCAAACCGTTACAATAGATGTTCGAGATGATTGTTTCTCTACTAGTACTATTTCGACGAGGCCATCGAACTACTCTTTTATTCCCATAATCACAGATCATGAGACTATCTCTCTCTTTGTCGACAATCACATCGACGGGACGATTCAATTGATGAGTTCTATTTCCAGCGGCAATCACTTGGCCGCTCGTCACACTATCCTTCCATTCCATAATACGGTTATTTCCATCGTCAGCGACATAAATAGTTTGATCATCATGGACATACTAACCGAATGGATTAGAGAGTTGATTGGTTCCATTACCTTTCTCATTTCCTGCAGCCACAGTAAGACCATTTTGTATCCATTTTGCATTCGGATAAATATCAATAGCAGGTACTCGTAGTGGTACTTAAAATAGAGAAAAATAACTGTCACAATAATAAGAGACAGACAACATAGAGAAGAAAGAGAGAGAACAAAATTTTAAAAAGGGATGATTTTTTTTCGGAAGGGTGAATAGGAGTGAGACATGTTATGGCTGAATTCTACGGAATTGGAATACATGGACTAACTGGAACCCTTAGAATTTGAGGATGAGAGTGGACGATGATGACTATCAGAATTTAGAAATATTATTTATTTTCTTTTTTTTTCTTATGAACTACTATTAATTAGAAAAAAAATCAAATCGACATTTTGTGTAGCTCATGGAAACGCACAATAGTGTTTCCGCGATAGAGTTATATAGTCATCGATGATATTTTCATTGAACGACTGCTACTACTACTGGAACTTGATAAATGCACTATTCTAGATTTCTCTTTTACTACATATAGACAGTATGTTCGAAGATTCTCTAGATTTCATAGCTTAACAAAAGGACTAATTGATGAATGAATGAACTCTTACAAATAGCAAAGCATGCTCTTGAGAGTTTGGCTTTGTTTCATTTTCATGAATGAGAAAAAAAAGGACTAATTAGTCAACGGGCTGAATTCATTAGTCATTGTATGGTTGACTTCATGTGTATTAATTTTTTGTGTGAATTCAATAGATGAAAAGAAGCAGTCGAATTATTTCTCAATGCTATTGATTGAATAGGTTTTTGAAAAAAATCAATTTCTTTGCACAGCTTACATTTAATTTGAGAGCATTTCTTCTGCAGCAGCGACTCGTGAAGAGAAATCACGTATAGAATTCCAAATGATAGAATGTTGTAGTCTCACTTCTGATACGTAAATATTAAAAACTGCAGCAGATATTTTGAAAAAAAATTTCGAAATTAAAAAAGCGATCTTCATCAATTTCAAAATATTCAAATCTAAAGAATATAGTGGAACTTCGAAGCAATCATCGTCGGACGGATACTCAGCTTAGCTCAGTTCTAAAACAACATCTTGTCGAATTTTTTGAATACACGTTTCAATTCTTCAATAAGCATGTTTTTCGATGTTACATTAATCCAGTTGATGGACTGCATAAATTCGTCCCAAATAGAATTGTTCAGTGAGTTTAAATCTGAACTATTCAATGGCCAATGATTTTTATCTATGAATGATGGAAAGTTGTTCTGACACCATTGTTGTGTTAGGTGCGGGACATGAGGTTTCGCACCGTCCTGTTGAAATGCCCGATATTCTTCAAAGATCTTATCTCCATATTCTTGTGCGATGGAAATCTATTGTGCTTTGATCGAAAATGGCCAAGGATACCACTCCTTTGGAACAAACATCTAGCCAGACCATGATCTTTTGAGGAAAGTTTTGTTTCATTTTAACGCCACCTCTCTCGTTTGCTTCAACGCGACTGCCCGCCGAAATACGTTGGTTTGGAGAATTGTATATTGTGCTAATGGGCATATCATCTTATGTGATATCTTTTCTTTCTTTATACATTGTTGTACAATCGATATTACGTAATTTACATAATCGCGTTACTCTTACGCTTATCTATGCATGATTGAGCTTCATTCTCTTTCTGTCGTAATGTGCTTCTCATTTTGTATCATCATTCACTCGTATATTATATATTGTTACGTTGCTGTCCTTTCCCTATTATTCTTCCATATCTGTTCTCTCCTTGGTCTCATCTCCTTTCTTTCCATCCTCTCTTATTCTACTCGTATATATAAGCGTATGCTTTATATGTAAACGATACGATTATATGATATAAAGGAATAGAATAAAGTGTATCTCCATCCACACTATCATCCCTTCTATCATTTTTCGTCACATATATACCGTCGATATCGAACATTTTTTTCATCCGAAAATAAAATGCACATTGTGTCCTCTTTTTGAAAATTATCAAAGACCCATTTTGCGAATTCTTTTCGTTTGTATCTTTGTCCGTCGGTAAGTCTTGGTTCAATTGTCTTCTTATAGGCGCGAAGTTGCAGATCCTGTTTCAATAATCGATAAGTACTTGCTTCAGATATGTCAAATTCTGTGGCTATAGTTTGAACTGAAACTTTCTTTTTCTCTTCCAATCGGTTTTTGATCTTTTGAATCATTTTACTGATTCGAACAAGACGTGGATCACCGGGCGAAGTTCTTGTAGAGGATAAAAAGATGAATATTTTTAAAAAAACTGACCTCGAACAAATAAAAAGTAGCAAAGATTCATTATACCTGAAACACTCGTTAGAAGCAATATATCAAAATCACAATTTACTGGAAACATTCTCACATTTTTTTTACTATGAATCCTGTTAAGAATACAGTGGGTTCTCCAAAGGTCGATAAACCAATCGAAACCTAATCATAGAACAAATACTATGCACATGTCTATCCCGACACACGACGAAGCCTTCTTCTGCATGTGGACATTTATAGAAAACTTTCGATTTCGTGTCGAAATAATTTTCACAAAATTAATATATCACGTAATGAAGCCTCTTGAGTAAAAGCGAAATTCGGGTCATAGTAGCTTATATCTAGAATAGGTCCTCATAATGGTAAAAAGACTCACACTGCTATAAAGATATCTATCGGTTCTGCAATAGGTTTCTTCTACCCTTTTGTACAAGACGATGCACAGACTTGAAGACTTGGCGACTTCAGAATCATGATTGAAATTCGAGACTCTGCATTTAACAGAGTCGAGGAGCTCATGACTATGATTGAATTCATGACTCTGCCTTCAAGAGATACGAAGACTTGAGGGCCTTGCATCTATGGCTGACGTCAGATCTTTGTCGGACTTCAAGTAAGATCGCAAGGAATTTCGTAAAATTGGATACCTGTTCAATCGTTTTGTTAGGCAGCGACTAGAAACCTCCACAAAGTTTTCGAAGTCTCGGTAACCTCTACTAGGTTTTGCTGGACCTTCAGCTTCCTTTGATTGCTTTTAATGGTTTCCAGAAGCTCGGAAACCTAAAGAGGGTTTCATATGGTGTCAAATCCAGAAAACCTTTTTTTAGAGTGCAAGAACGGTACCGTGTATGGCACTGGTTGTATTTTTTAGGTTTATTGTAGTGGTTAGGATTGGTACGATAGTTGCACTTGTTGCTTTAGTGCTTTTTTCGATGGCATACAAAGTGGCGAACACAATCGTGGTGATGACAAAAACCACGACAAGAACACCAAGCAGAATGAATAGTCCTTTGGAACGAGATCCAAATCTTGATGGTCGGCCGAAACACAACATATCGCATAACTCAAATATGTTCATTTGTTCAATCGACAAGAGAAAAACAAAATGTCATATACCTGATAGATTCTAGCGTTTCTTGACTGAATTGAGATGGCATTCTTGCAGTCGGAGACAATTCGTATTTATTTAACATATTCGATAATTCTCACCTGAAGACAGCTACGTAGAATTCTTACAAACAAAAAAATGACTAACTAGGCAAGGTTTCAATAACGGACACCTTTACGATATGCAAACACAGATATAGAGTTGTGCATGCTTGTTATTGTGATGATAAGACAAAGTGTAGACAAACATAATCATACCTATTCTTTCCATCTGAGTGACGACTCCAAGTGAAAAAATGACGATTGGTTAGAGAGGACAGATATTTATAACAATGAAAGTTTTTCAACTTTTAAAGTTAATTGCTTGCATTTACATGTTCATCGAATTCTGTAGAAAAAAAAAAACATCTTTATTTTGAGAATGGGGTGGGTGTGAATGTGGATATGGGTCTTGGTCAAGAGAAGACTCAGATCCACACCCATACCAATACACCAACATATAGGCTTTGGTAAAATCTTAATTATATTATTGTTTTATTGGGTTTTTTATTTCTTTTTCGCTGATACATCGAAAAAATTGTACACAATTTCCAAAATTATTATATATTTTTCGTGGCATTATTTCAACATTAACCGTTCGTAGACATGTTTAAAAGTTATTTAAGAAAAATCTAAATATAAAGTTTGGTGAGCAAAACTTGCTCTGTCTTTTGAAGCGTTAATCACTTTGATCCAAGTGACTTTTACGAAAAGAATAACCACATACTAAGAATAGAAAAAAACAAAAAAAAACATGTCTATTATTATTTTAACATGACGCCCTAGTTAAAATCAGCCTGGAAATGTATCGAACGAGTGTGTACTTTTGCATAAAGTGATACTGCCTGATGGACGCACTTACAGAAACCGATGCTTTAAGCTAGCTACTTTTTGTGAGGGTGATACACGACAGCCATCGATTTCTCGGACGCTTAGTCATAAATGATGTGCGGAGTTACCTATGAATCATTTTCATGCTACAGTATGTTGAAAAATATTCTTCTCGTTTTATGCGTAGAAGCAGTTTAGCCTTATTGCTTATCGGTCACATGTGCTCGTTGTTTTTTTTTCTTTCTCTTCAACGTTTCACACGTCTTTCTCTCCATTATCAAAACCAAGCAAACATTTACCATAATCGCTGTGTTGCACGCAGTATAATAACTGAGTTTTTCTCTCGTCTATCATTGCACAATATACATTGTTATAGATATGTCTTCGACGATTCTACCCTCTACAAGTCAATATTCGAATTCAGGCACATATGTGCCAACCATTCTAAGTAAATAGATATTGCATGAAAGGTACACTGTCGAACTCTTGCTTTTGTTTCAGAACGAGTCGAATACGGCATTGATTCACTATCTAAATTATCCGATGTGCTGAGTGAACTTTCCATCTCGAAACCATTCATTGTGACTGGCACATCGCTGGCAACAAAGACTGATATTATAGAGCGTGTGAAGAATGCTGCTGGGTGTGAAGTGGCTGCTGTTTTCTCAAATATTCAGCAGCATTCGCCTATTCAGAATACTAGGACCGCCGTAGCTGAGCTGAAGAAGAGCAATGGCGATGGAATCGTTGCCGTTGGTGGTGGATCACCGATTGATGCGGCCAAGTTGATTGTTTATCTTTACAAGGAAGAAACTGGTCGATTGCTCAAGCTGGTCAGTATTCCAACGACGCTTTCGGCTGCAGAGCACACTATCATCTCTGGATATACTGGTAAGTGACTGTCATTGGATATAGAACATCTGCATAACAATTTTCGAATTCAACAAAATTTGACTCTGGATCTCTGTCATTTAAATTGGTGACTAGCTGTATAGATTCTATCATCAAATACTCCGCGAATGTTGTGAAATTTTGGTAAAAAAAAAAGCACTAATTATGAAAAGCTAACACTTCCACCCAGACAACAGAGTCTGAAGATTCTCAGTAAATTTTTAAGCCAATGGAATGTTAGTAAACTGGATGTAATAAAGCAGTGCGATATGTAACATTCGCTTTTTTGCTGTTGAGATTTTTCCATCAAAATTTTAAAAAAAAGACTTGAATGCTTTATCCATCTCTCTTGAAGAAATATGATACAAAACGTATGCCATTAGCGACCACTGGAAGGAATAACCAAATACTTAGGTCGTACAAAAAGTTCTAAGAACGTTAGACAGTATTATAAAGATAATGAGATATTTACAATTTTATTTTATCAAATG